CGGCCTGTCCAGGCAGCGCAGGACAGACTGGAGGAGAATCCGCCCACGTGTACACCGGGATGAAAATGGCTTTAATGAGCCCCCAGGACACCGTGGGAGTAGCCACACTGCTGCCCCAGTTGCCGAGAGCAGCACCCTAAACTCTGCCAGCCAGGGGACATCAGAGTCCTCAAGGAACTCCCCTGCAGTTGGCTACAACCTCCGGAGCAGACAGGGGCGGCGAGCTCAGACAAGAAGCCGCTCTCCGTTGCAGCGTCGGGCCCCAGATTCTCCAAGCCAGCCCCGAAGACGCCAAACACGTGGGAGCAGGCAGGCACCAACCCGAAGTGCTGAGAGCGGCACCAACAGACGCACAAGACGGGGAGCACCGCGGCCCTCAAGGGCTTCCACAGCAGCTGATGGAAGCCGGTCCACACAGCCAGGGCGGGCCCGGACTCGAAGCCGCTCCCCTCTTGAACATCGGGCTGCAGAGACCCGCAGCCAGCCCCGAAGATGCCGCAGGAGCCGCTCCAGGCGGCGAGGGCCAGCCCAGGGGTGAAGCCGCTCCCGGGTACCACGTCGGGCCCCAAACATCAACAGCCAGCCCCAATGATGTCACGGGAGCAGCCATGTGCAAGCTCCAATTCTATCCAAAGTCATCACAGTCCATCACAATAAAACTGAGAGTTCCATCACGCCACTGTCAGTTTTGTTCTTCTCTGCCTTTCCCGGGGTGGGCAGCTGTACAGGCTGGCCCTTCCCCCCAGCACCCAACCCACTCCCTCCTCCCTGCGGCCCGGCTCAGGCTGAGCTGGGTTCTGGCCCCGACTCCGGCGGGGCGCAACGTTTCCAACACGCAACGGAGGCCAGGCTGGCAGCTGCGGCCCCGTCCTGGGGGCGTTTCCGTCGTCTTGGGTACGCCGCTGTGTTTGCGACATGCAGGCAGCCCTGGGGCTGCTACCGCCTGCGGCGTGGGCCAGGACCCGGCCTTTCCTCCTGCATTCGGCCAGTGCCACAGTGCCACAGCTCTGAGGGCTGCTGCTGCTGCTCTGGGGATGCTGCCAGGCAGGGGGTGACGCAGCCCATCGAGCGCGTGAGCCACTCTCCTCTGCCCCAAAGTCCGGCGTCACGCCTCCTGTGCGAGCAGTACCAGTGCTGCCACTGCTCCTAAGCGGGACGGCCACCCTTTCCTTACTCGCTCCAGCTGCCCAGAGAAGCAGCCCGCCTCTCTCTCCCTGCACCCAGTGTGTTCTCCTAACACCCCCAGCGCAGCGCGTGACGTTTTGCTGCCGTGCCACAGCCGTCTTGCAGCCCCGAGCGCGGTCGCAGCCCCCTTCGCTCTCGCGACACGGCGCGTTAGCGGCCTCGTCTCATTCCAGCTTTGCAAACCCTCCTTCCCACGCCCGCTCCGGGCCCGTCGGCCGCACTCCGCCGCGCACCCAGCGCTCTCCGGCCGGTGCCCCCGCGCCATCCCCCGCCGGCCGGGCCGTCTGGGCGCGTTCCCTCCCCCTCCGGCTCTCGCTGGCCGCCGCGCATCCGGGGACGCCCCGCGCGGTCCGCTCGGCGCCTCCGCCCGTCTCCCAGCGCTGGGCCGTGGCGGCCGGGTTCCGTTGCAGCCCGCGCGCGGCGGTGCGCCGAACGGGGCCCGGCACAGGGGCTGCCCCCGGCAGCGCGACCTCAGCGGGGGGGGGGCGGAGAGGCCGCGTCCGCGTCCTTCCGGGCCGGGGCCGGGGCCGGCGGCTCGGTGGGAGGCTGCCCGCTTCTGGCCTTGGGGACGTCGCCGCGTTTGGCACGCGCGGGCAGAGCCGGGGCTGCTGCCGGCCGTGGGTGGGCCGGGACCCGGGCTTTCCTCGTGCGTTCGGGCGGTGCCGCGGGTCTGAGGGCTGCCGCTGCTCTGGGGATGCCGCCGGGCTGGCGGTGCTGGCCTTGTCTCCTCGCCCTTGCCGCGATGGAGGGTGGAGTGCAGCTGCCAGACAAAGCTGCGTTGGCTGGCCCTCCTGCCCATCCTGTGATTTAAAACCTGGCCTCCCTCGTGCCGTTTGTTCTGCGCTTCTTCTACAAAGGGTTCTGCTTTGCTCACACTCGCCCAGAGTGGGGAGTCCAGTGCCTGGCCTCAGTCAGAGCCCACGTTTGCTGGGGCTGCATGGGCCGGCTTGTTTTCAGGCACCGAATCACCGATCCGGGCGGTGAAGAGGCTGATGTGTGTGCTGCTCTGCCCTCCGTCTGACCTGCTCCGGTGGGATATGCAGTGTGGCAAGGCAGCGGTGCAGCGCCCTCCTACGCTCACTCCGCGAGGCACTTGCCGAGTTCCTAACTTGTCTCAGGCCAACTTGCTACATGCTCTGTATAAGATGCGTTGCAGAATCACAGCATGGCTTGATTGAGAGGGACCTTACGGCCCCCCAGCCCCACCCCTGCCATGGTCTGGCTGCCCCCCAGCTCGGGCTGCCCGGGGCCCCTCCATGGCCTGGGGCACCTCCAGGGATGGCACCCACAGCTCTGGGCAGCACTGCCAGCGCTTCACTGCCCTCTGAGCAAAGAACATCCTAATATCTCACCTAAATCCCCCCTCTTTTAGTTTGAAGTTGTTACCCCTTGTCCTTTTACTATCAGACGGTGTAGGAAGTCACTCTCCCTCCTACCTGTAAGCTCCCCTCAAGTACTGGAAGGTCACACTGAGGTCTCCCTGGAGCCTTCTCTTCTCCGTGCTGAGCAACCCATCTCCCTCAGCCTGTCTCCATAGGAGAGGTGCTCTTCGTGGCCTCCTCTGGCCCCGCTCCAACAGCCCTCCTTTACTGGGGCCTCCAGCCTGGATGCAGTGCTCCAGCTGGGGCCTCATGAGGGCAAAGCAGAGGTGGAACAATCCCCTTCCTGCCTGCTGCCGCCCTCTGCTGATGCAGCCCAGGATGCTGTTGGCCTTCCAGGGTGCGAGCGCACGCTGCTGGCTCCTACAGAGCTTTTTGTCCATCAGGACCCCCATGTCCTTCTCTTAGGGCTGCTCTGAAAGAGCTGTTCTCCCAGTCTGGACACAAATCTGGTATTGCCCCAAGCCAAGTACAGCACCTTGCCCTTAGACTTACTGAGCTTTGCTAAGTTCACATGGGCCCGCTTCTCAAGTTTGTCCCTCTGGATGGGATCCTTTCCTTCCATTTTATCAGCTGCCCCACGCAAGTTGGTGCAATCCACAGCCATGCTAATCCCACTGGAGATGTCATTGGTAATGATGCTGAAGAGCACTGGTCCTAAGACGGACCCCCCGAGGGACACCGCTCGTCACTGGCTCCCTCCTGGACATAACGCTGCCAACCAGCCACTTCCTCACCCACCAAATCGTCCACGCTTCAAATCCGTATCTTGGGAAAGACTGGGGAAATCCTGGGAAGATTTTGGGCAGTTGGACAAGTGGATCTGAGAGCAGGATTGGCAGCTGTCCCCGGCTTTGGGCTCTTGTGTGGTGGCGTTAGTGGTGGCACTTTGACTTCTTTGGCTGAACCCTGTTGTTTACTCCAGGTGCATGAAGCCACAAGAAAGGGGGAAGTCCTCAGGTGGCAGCATCCTCCCCAGCAAGTTCTGTTCTAGGTGTCTGTCCTACCTCCGCTCTGGAGCTGGTGCCTGTGAAGAATGACCTCTCGGGGTGCTGGGACGGCTCTGTCAAGGAAGAACTGCAGGCTGAGCACTGGGCCAGAGAAGTCCAAGGTTGCAGGTACGGGCTGAGCATGCTTTGTATGAGCAGGACCGCTGTGGGTCAGGGTGAGCGGCCCTGGCCTCACCTGAGGTCACCTGCATTGCAGTTGCGCTTATCTTGCTGACAAGAGGCACGGCGGGACTGCAACAGTAAATGTCTGAGCTGAGGTGAGGTTTTGGGAGGGCCTTTCCTTGCTGTATGAGCAGCTCAGGTCACAGTGCCCTTTCTTCAGCGATGCGAGGCTGGAGAGCGTGGAGTTGCTTGTCTTTGTCTCACCTGACTCGGGGTAGATGGCTTCTCAGGTGCTGAGATCAGTCTTTTCCCTGGAGGTGTCGGTAGCTGGTAAGCAGTCCATTTTCTCCTGGACTGACCAATCCATCAGAACCGTGCTTGTGAGATCACAGATCTGGGATTTGAGGGCTCAGTGGCACCCAGAGCTTTGTGACACAAGGTGACGGAGACCAGCTCAAGACGCCTGGGACAGA